GTATTGTTAGTAGAATTTTCCAGGGTTGTGCTTGGAACGGTGGAGTATTCTGGTGTAGTCGCCTCTTGTTTTATGGAATGTTCATTCCTGGGCTTCTGTATGTAACAGCTCTAATTATCGGTTCGGTGATCCATCACTGCATGTTTTTGGGTCCTGGCTGGAATTCTTCCTCACGTCAGTTTTCAGCGCTCTCTGGGTGCTCCCCCTGTTTGTGCTGAGCAAAGTCGTGAATGCCATGTGGTTTCAGGACTAGCTGACCTGGCATTTGCAGTATCAGGGAGGAGGCCTCATCCATTCCCCGTGTCCGTGGAATAATTGCTGACATGCTTTCCACCTTCTGTTGCAGGCTCTTCTCCTTATCCAGGGAATGTTCATGAGCCTCTTTCTATCCCTCTGGTTGGTCAGCTGGTTAGTCTCCTTCACACGTCCCTTCTGTACTCACTGTATTGCTTCATATCATTGGTCCAATAAAGGAATTGAAATGCACCAACAGTTGTCAGACCTAGAAAGGAACTGGCTTTACTGCTTTGGGTTCGGTTTGCCGTTGGCTTTTCTCACGGCAAAGCAGTCCTCGTACATTATCAGTGGCTGCCCCTTTATCCCCTTTCCTTTGGTCATTACCGGCGCCAATGCAGCGAAGACCCCTGAAAAGCATACCTCTTCCAGTTGCGACTCTTCTCCTGGGTGGTCTTCTTAAGCAACCGACTCTTTCACAAGACCGTGCACCTGCAGTCTGCCCTGAGCAGCTCAACCTCTGCAGAGACGATCCCTTCGCCACATCCATCTCCTGCCAAACCAAAAGCTGCTGCGGACCACTGAGCTGCCTGCCACCCAGAGGGGATGGGTGGGAGTTGAGGGAGTCTGCCAGGGGCCTTCTGCATATTCCCTTCTCTCTGCGGAACTGGAAGGTTTCTCTCTGGTGCACATAAGGCAGAATCTTCCTGACACCAGTGTGAGGATTCTTAACAGCGCCTGAGTCTGAAAGGACCACAGGTTTTTCTGCAGCTGTTTTCTAGCCTTGCCATCCCCTGTGCCTGGATTTTGTTTTCTCCCTGTGCCATTTACCCTCCTACTTTCCTGCCTTCCACCACCCTGGGATGAATGGGTTTTATAATCCTAGCTGTTGTATTTTGTGGATTTGTTATTTTTGTTGTTCTTCTGTGAAGCACACACGTTGGATGTGGGAGGTAAAGGAGGATCTCAGCTGCTCCTGGTCACTCCTTTTATAGCCATCACTGTCT